AGTTCCAAGTCAAGAGGGTACGGGTTTGGCAGTTCACTTCTGAAGTTGCAGCTAGTGCAGCTATTAGAAGAAAGGGATGGCATGGTATGTTTGAGATTAATGAAGCATGTTAAGTGCCAGTTTATTTTCAAATAAATAAGGGTATTGGATTTCATTTTTTATCTTTTGATCATTTCAGTTACTGGATGGTAGAAATATTCGAGTGCAGTATGCACAAGGGGTGAAGAGTACTGTAAACACTGGTACATTCCTCTAGTAAATTATTATTGGTAAAAAATAATCTTTTATTTATTTGATTAAGAGAAGAAAAGCGAAGTAGATTGTGGATTGGGTTTTATCTGTTTTGGTCTCTGGATTCTTTTCGCTCTGCTTGATGTATGGTAACTTGAGATGCACCATTTGCTGGGTTCCAAATAATTTCAATATGGATTTTGGCTGTTTGTGGAGTTATTTGTTCAATTTTAGATTTTATGGAGCGGTGGATTTTATTTGAACTTCTGGGTTGGTTTGGGCAGTTTACTCCATAATCACATTTGGCATTGCATGAATAGATGAGAAACTTTGTTAGGGAAATTGAGTATATGGGCTTTACCTTAAGTTGAGGCTGCTAGTAGAAAAATCAATTTCTTAGTCCCATTGTGAACCTTGTAAGAATCAGAAAATGATCTCCTCTGGTTCCTACACGAGGAAAAGTGAATGAAAGCATGCCAAATTCAGTTCGGTATTCTTTTTCCACTTACGGTTTCTATATATCAAGACTTCTATTTTATCCCTTGGCAGGAAGCACTGCTGCAGCACCATCACATCAACTACCAGAAGAACTCTACAGTAGTGTGCTAGATATGTATGCTTGCCTGAAAGGGAAAAGATTGGTACCAGTTGTGCTACTCCTCTTGAATCACTTATTAATTGAAGAACTGGTGAAGTCCATGAAGTGCAATGGTGTGTGCTTGCTCTCTCGAAGATTAACATATGGTAGGACTATCATGCATATGATATGTCATCAAAGAATAAACAGAACCTATCAGCTCCAATGTGGATATGGGTATGGGTATATGTGCGGAAATGGATTCCTGAACAATTAGGATATGGCAAGAATGGACTCATTTGAAATACTGAATCAAGAGTATGTTGTTTGATACATGTACCATGTCAATACACCTCCTCTTTAAGAAGTATCCAGAATTGATTTGCAGTTTATATTTCTTAGTTCAGCTCGCAATCATCCCTCATTCTCCAGGTTCTGGTTGTAAAATATCAGCTTTACCTGGTATCTGATTTTCTCCCACCGCATCACACTTACATTCGTCACATTTGCTGCTGGTATCTGATGTTCATCAAACTGCAGTCTGCCGCCACTTGCAACTGGTAGCATCATGTCTATGGTATCTGGCAGCTGACACTCCTCCCAGAACTGCATATCACCTTCGTCTTCCCATGCATCTGGCATCTCATCATCATTGTCCTCCCATAAAGGCATTGCACCTTGCGCACCAAGCTTCTTGTGCGTGTGCAAACATTGGCTGGTTGCATCCCAAAACAAGAAATGCCTCTATTCGGTATTTCAATCAAATTACAAAAGTGTATTGGAGTAGGCGTTCATTAATAACTTTCATAAAATTCTGAACTAACAAAAATGAATTCAACCATCCCTTCCTGGAATCTATCATCACCAGTGCATTGTCGACCTAATACTGGAATATAATAATTATGAAAGTTTAAACTAAAACAATGAAAGAAATACAAAATATGGTAAAAAAAAAAAAAAAAGAAAAAAACTCTTAAGCATTTGCAGCCTAAGGATGCCACCCAACTAAACTATTTGTGCCATCTCTATATGCTAGTATTTTGTGTTGTCTAAAGAAAAAGAAGACACAATGTGTTTTTTTTGCAAAGAATTAAAGACCTATATGATCCAGTGAGAAAATAAGGACTTTTTGATATTTTGCATAATCATCGGAGAAAACAAGAGTAGGCCTTCCTGGTGTATCATCAATAAAATATAAATGAAGAATAATACGTATAACAGCATGAGGAAAGTTAAGACATATAAAGAAAGGGAGGCTAATAGCCTGATAACATGAAATCCAAGAGAGATGCTACTAGTTATCTAAAAGGCGTCTTGAAGCGAATAAATGTGGTTCTGACATCCACAATACAAGTAGAATTCTGTGCCCGGAATGTCATCTTATTGAACTGTCACCATTGAAACATCATAGTTCAAGAAGGTGTTGCAGCTGTGAATGGTTAATAGTGCAATGGTCAGTAGGGTGGCTGTGAACCTAGAATCTGAATTTTGTGCCCGGAGTCTCATCTTAAGCATGGTAAAAAGGGGAAAAAGCCCCAGAAGAAATGGAAAAAAGGCCGGAATAGCCCGGAATGCACAATTTTGCAAACAAATAGACCACTTTGTTTGATTCAGAAACATCTTGAAAACTGCCATTTTTCAGTCATGAGCTAGGACTCTTTCCAGGATCTTCATTATTTGCAACTTCACAACAAGATCGCTTCCCATTAACCATCTGGACAAAACAACAAAAACTCAAATAACTAGACTGGAGGTTTTCTAGGTATTAGTTTTATAACATCTACAAACAGGTAAATACAATCACCAATGAAATGCAGTAAAGGTTTCACATTTTGGAGCTTCCGTTGGAGATGGTGAAAACCCTGAATTTGGTATTAAAAAAACCAGTGAATGGGGCATATTACAAAGAGCAACACATATCAAATACAACAAAGAAGATTGCCTTCATACTGTTACCTTTTAGCTTACACTGAGTAAGATGTGGAAAGTCAGGTTATCTAATAGGATGACAAATTAATAATCGACACATCCATCAGTAGTATTTAGTAGCATATCACATGATTTTCATTGAAAAAATTTGGAATTCTTGTTAATAGGTGTTTTTGTCAAGAGATCGGTTCTGGCTCTTCAGGCCTCAGGGTGCAACCTGGCCTCTCCTTTCTTTTTTATTTCTTGAAACTAATAAATAAATGATACTATACTACACAAATACTACCTAAATTTTGAGATACAAATGAACTCAAATCATTCTTAAGCAAATTCCGAACAATAGTTACCTACAATGATGCACGATAAATATATAGAGACAAGCACAACTACTGAAATTGCTCCAAACAAAACATAAGTCACTGTTGAACAACACAAATGGTAGATTTAAACTTGTAGTCGAGTCAAGTTTTTAACTCAACGAGCTAGGCTCGATTGCTACAAGAACGAGCTCGAGTTCAAGCTCAAGCCTGACGAGCCTGGAAAACCAGGCTCAAGCTTGTGTTCGTGAAACCTTACTCGGCTCAAGCCAGATCGAGTCTTGAGCCGGCTTGGTTACTGTAGTAATATTAGACTCTTGAAAAAAATTGTTGATATTAGGAACAAACTAAACAAGCTGTTTCGAGAAATAATCACAATGGAAGAAGCATTCCTCTCAGCCATTCCATACTAATCCAAAAGATCAACAATAACAACTAAGAAAAACACGGAATTGGTAGAACATTAAGAATATTCCTGATTGAAATCATACATTATCCGCCATAAGCCAAGGCTGAAACAGTCGAACAAGAATAACAATCACCTCAATAATGTGCAAAAATTCAATACCGAGGGCCGAAAGAACCCCATAATTGTAGGGTGTTCTCTCTGCATTGTTCAGTAACCAGAAACCACACTCAAAAGTAATGAAAACCAGATGAAATCCCATCCGGGCTCACAAACCCAAGAAAAAAGGCAAGAAAATGTGAGAAAATAATGAAGGAAAATAATATCGCTGGTGAAAATCGTTAGGGATTGGGATTTTTCAGTTGAGTTTAGGGATTTCAATTGGAATTAAAAACTGGGGACAGATGAAAAAGAAATACAAAGAAGAAGAAGAAAGAAGAAGAGATGGGATGAGGAGAGAGAAGAGGGAAAGATGGGATGGGATGAAGAAGAGAGAAAGAACAGACAAGGGAAGGGAAGAAAAAAACGTAATATAGCTTAAGCTGAGATTCCGCTTGTTTGAACTCTCTCTGACCTGTACCAGCCAGGCTCGCTGACACGCCTAGGTACATGATGTAATATCAGAACACCAAGCATGAAATTTATGCTGTCAACAGATCCGAGTACAGAGAAGCTCAACGGAGCTGACCAGAAAACTGATGAAGAAAATTTGCCCATTTGGTCAGAACGTGGAGACTGATATACATTATTCTCATTTAAAGGGAAAATTCAGACGAATGGAATTAAAAGGGAGCTCATGCGGGTATTATTAAACGCCATAACTTTTGGAAAACAAATCTAAACAAATAGAATACAGTTTTTATTCTCGCTAATTTTCTACATCAAGATTCAAGCGTACTACATGAATGCAATCAATAATGTAAAACTAACCGAATCCCGCTGTCATAACTCCATTGCCCGCATGAATAAGAACCTTAGAATTTAACAACAAACTCTTAAAATTGGCAAGTATGCTAACTACTTAAAAATACTATGTTTTATACATATTAATTCATACGTGCATACAGAAATTAACAAATAAATTCTAGAACAAGAGGGGTCAAAGCACCAATAGCCCACGCCATTGTTCCTGAGTTTTGATATATCAAATACAAAAGTCCTTAACAGGCATTTGCTGCTACTACAACAATTTCTGTTAAAATAAGTTGACAATTCATAAAACTTAACCTCATCCCAACCCAATTCAGTATTTTCACCATAACCCTAACCTAATTAAAACATAATCACATAAAATTTACAAGTACTTCAACAAACACAACATAATTCCACGGACGATTTAGGGATTCCACAACAGACACTTCATGAAATAACAATACTAAAATTGAAGAAAGAAAAATTACGAATTATATTTCACTTTCATTTCAGAGCACAATAGGCATGAACATCCAGTTCAATCACCCAAATCCCAAAATACAAGAAAATAGCCCTAAAAGCCCAACCCAAAAAAAAAAAAAAAAAAAAAAAAACCTAAGAACTATTAATCTACTAAAATTAAATTCCTAACCCTACTTAGCTACACAGACACACAGTATCAATTAAATTGATATAAATTCCTTCAAGATGAAGTGAACTTGGTTACGGCCTTGGTACCCTCAGAAACAGCGTGCTTAGCCAGCTCGCCAGGAAGTACAAGTCTCACAGCTGTCTGAATTTCCCGAGAAGTAATAGTGGGCTTTTTGTTGTACCTTGCCAACCTGGAGGCTTCTTGAGCAAGCTTCTCGAAGATATCGTTGATGAAACTGTTCATGATTCCCATAGCTTTTGAAGAGATTCCGATATCAGGGTGGACTTGTTTCAGGACTTTGAAGATGTAGATCTTGTATGTCTCAGTACTCTTCTTCACGCGCTTCTTCTTCTTGTCTCCGGCCGCGGCCTCCTTCGGCAACTTCTTTCCGGCCTTAGGCTTCTTCTCAGCTGGTGCCTTCTCTGCCACCGAAGTTTTCTTCTCCTCGGCTGGCTTCTTCTCAGCAGGTTTCTTCTCTGCCTTGGGAGCCATTAAAATTGATTTTTTGCGGGTAAATTGAAAAAACTAGGGTTTGGATATTTTCTTTCGTGTTTGGATGAGAATTGCCTTATAAAGTGACAGATGCGTTGGAGGTTATATATAGAAACGAGACATGGAGTATAATTGGTCAGTTCGGAGTTCACGAGGATCGAGAACGTGGTGAAGCTGAAGCGTTGGATTGGACTTTGGGAAAGTAGTAAATCAACGGCAGATATGGCTCAAATTTAAAGTGTGCTAGTTTGTGACAGAGATTGATGACTTGGCATCTTTCTGGGTCGTTGGATTCGGTTCAAGTGTTGGGTGAGTGGATGGCCGAGGCGGGTATAAGGTTTTAGAATTGGGATTAAGGATGTATTAAACTTGCGCGGGAGGAGGACCGCCTTTGTCACTTTTAATCCATTTACGGAAACACCCTTGAATTCTATGACTGTACAAGCTATTGATTAAGGGTAAGTTTGTGAATTGACGAGTTACAAATCCGATTCCCTCCCACCAAAATTCCAATTCTCATGCTCTTACCCGTAAGAAAGCGTTTGATTTAAGAAATATTGAACTACTGAAAAGTTAGATTATCTTATAAATTATAAGAAATATTTAAAAAAATATATTTGGTTAATTGGTAGATATATTATTTAAATTAGGGGTGTTCAGTTTCGGGTACCCTGTATTATTTTAAGGAATCGAAACTGGAACCTATAACAACAGTTCCGGTTCTGGTTCTTGGTACCAGTAAAATTCATGACGCCCCAAAAGTTTTTAAAATAACAAAAAACCCTTAAAAACTTACAAATACCCCCCCCACCTAGAACTTGTTAACAAAAATAAAATTATAAATTACAAATTCCATTACTTTGTAAAGATAGATTCTCAAAAGTCAAGCCAATTTACTTTAAATGTTATGAACTATAAATATAAATATATTCACATTACTTTTTCTGCAAAAGTTTTTATAACCCCTTACTTTTTAATTTTATTTTATATTAGTCTCAATTCCCAATTCCGGTTCTGGTTCCTAACTATAAGAACTGGAACCAGAACTACACAATAAAAGTTTCAAATATTTGGAACCAGAACCTATCCGTTGACGGCCGATTCTGGATAGGAACTAAAACCAAACCCCGGGTACCTGTCGGTTCCAGTTCCAATCGGTTCTTTTGAACACCCCTAATTTAAATTACTGAATCGTCCTCTAATTAAATATTAGTATTATATTATTTTTTAATATTTATTATTATTTGGATTGTTATAACCCCCTTGCACTTAAAAACTTAGCAAAAACAACCCCATAATTAAAGTTTTAAAAATCAATAAAACATTCCCACCGACCCAACCACTGCCGGCCGCTGACAACCACTATAGGCCGCTGGTAGCCGGCAACCTAATGGCGCATAAAAAGCAAGAAATGGACAGGCGTCGTTGCGCGGGTGGTTGTCGACGGCAAGTGAGTGGGGGTGGTGGCTTGGGTGGATTGCAATTTGTTTTCAATTCAAAGGTAATTCTGTCCAAAAAGTTAATTAATTGGAATGAAATAGTAAAAGTCATATTCATGTAAAATAAATTTAAAAATAAGGATATTATTGTCCTAAAATTTTATCAATAAGAGATAAAATTGTAACAAAATAATACTACCCTGGTAATCTTAGAATACCTAAGAAAATAGAGATAATCAGATTACCTCCAATATTACCAACAATAACTACTATTAGTATTTGAAGATTATCAGTATTTTATATAACTTACAATCAAATGTGGTAATCAAGAAATATAAAATGACATAACTCCAGTAATCCCACGTTACCCCTGATCAAACGCCCCTTAAGAGTAATAGACCATTTGTGAAGATCCTTTAAATGCCTTTTTAACCATATTTAATTAAAATCAAAATGAAATCTTAATATATATAAAAATCCAAATCGTTTGATTAGAAACATAATACATGAAACTTGCATTAGTTTTCATTCAAATCAAAGATACAATATTACTTGTACGAATTTCAGCCGGATAAAGACACGGTTTGGATATAATAGACGTGCTGACATAACTTACCAATTGATACATATCACAAGCAATCCAAGTTCATCAGAGCCGTATTAAACATTCCTTTTCTTCTTTCAAATTCCCAAGGAAAGGATCAACAGAAAAGCATTGGGCTGCTTCCAACATTTCATTTCTCAGTATCTATAAGAGATTAAGTTTATATGAACATGTCTATGAGAAGAAGATAAGCAACAAATTAAGAAAACAGGGAAAGCAGATGCATTATCTTGTGAAGGACGCTTGCATAAAATTCGAACAAACAAATTTGTGAGAACAAAGATGCCAGCATTCGGACAATATATATGCAATTCGGTTCAAGCTGTTTCAAACACACAAGACCACATAACTTATAAGTTGGTAAAAAAAAATACAGAACTTACATTCAGTTTCACAACGAGTATATAAACTATGCCTTGAGAGGTAAAGAACAAATCGGCAACAAAGTTCAGGGGAGACTAATCTTAAGCAAATGAGCCATTTTTCACCTTCAATCAAAGGAAAATTCCGATACCAATTGTCATATAAGATATGCTTCAGATAAATAAGCTATTCCTAGCCAATTAAAGGTACCTGTGCACCATATTGGTAGTTAAAACAACTATAGAAACCTAAAGTTTAAATAATTAAAATAGTAAAAAAGCAGCGCCCCAACTTTTTCCCCAAAGAAGCTCCCATGAAAAGAGAACCATATAATCAGAACTTAAAACCTAGAAGGCAACTAATAAAGAAAAGAGAAAAAAGCAAAGCCAGTTCTTTAAATCTTCAGGCTTGCTTGGAACAACTGCACAGGCAGCAGCTCTTATATCCTGCCAACAAATTAGAAACAACAGAACTATAAGGCAAGGCACATATCACAAATTCTGAACAACAAAAATGATGCACAATAAATGTATAGAAACGAGCACAAATACTGACATTGCTCGAAAAGCATACATAAGTATACTGTTGAGCAATACAAATGGTAGATGATGTAATTATCAGAAAACCAAGCAAGAAATTTATGCAGTCAACCAATCTGAGGGCAGAGAGAGTTAGACTAGGGTGGCCAGAAAAATTGATGAAGAAAATTTGGCCATTTGGTCAAAGTGAGGAGACTGATATACATTTGCATGTGTATTTTTATATTTAGAAAGAAAAAGACAGAGAAATAGATTTTAAAAACAGCTTATGTGGGTATTATTAAAAAACCAGAAGTTTTTGAAGACAGATCTAAACCAGATGAGCGAAATTAAAAAATGGAAATAAATAGAAAATTAATGCGTGGATAAGTGATACAGACAGTTTTTACACCCATGTGTAGAAGATGTGCTGGATTGTCCAAAAGCTTAGTTCTCTGACTCAAAATGTGTGCAAGTCTCACAAAATTATAGCTTTATATTCATATTTCCAACCTCACTAATCTCAATAATGCAGTGTTGCCAGTGTATCAGAATTTTATTACTAGTGAGCCAACATGACATACTAATTTGCACTAAATCTGTTTGGAAACAACAAATTTAGCGGTTTAAAGAAAATATTACTCAGGAATCATAAAGTTTGATTATTAATGGACGACGACTATCCTTTTAACAGCTGCATCATTTTACTTTTGGGAATACACAACTCAAATTGGCACCTCTCTCCCAGCAACCCAATACCATAGTTAGTAACCATATAAGAAAAAATTACAATAAAAATTCATTGAATTAAATGAAGAAGGCAAAAGCTTGGTCTTATAAATAAATAATGGTGTAAAAAAGGCAATTTTAAAGAAAATGAGTAATAGATTACGAGATTAACAGTTTGATAGAGAGCTCTTTGGGCAAGAGATTTCATGAGCACAGCCTCGAAATGAAACTATCATCAAATATTGAAGTATACAAGGTTACACATTGAAGAATACATCTAACAATGCACATTTCCAGCAAATCGTTTTTTTCCTTCTCCCTCTTTCCAAGGAGATAGAAGACAACTAGAAATCTATTATGTGCTAAGGAGCAATTAATTTACAAATTCAACCAACAGTCAGAAACATGGCAGATGTAGAAAAAGTCATAGTATACAAGATTCTAAACAGCCTCACCAGCAGAAAAATTTAGAAATAAAATGATGCAGCAACTACATTTCTGACCAAAATAAATACTTATCCACCAAACCAGGGGTGGAAGAGAGGAAGAAAACCAAAATTTTCATTAGAACGCATAAAGAAAACATCCAACCAACATAAAGGATTCTAATCCATGGTCATATACAACTATGCATAGATATAATGTAAAATCTGATCAAACATCACTAAAATGCCCTATGATCCAACATAATCTGATCTAAAGTCAACTGTGGCAGAATAAGCAGCATCACTAAATTGAGATGGTATTGAAATGAGTTCCTTTTTCCATTTTGTAATGACAATTTGTTCATTGATCACAAGTACAACGTGGCCCAAACAAACATAAAAACAAGAAACTGCAACCAAAAAAAAAAGCATGCCTGGTTCATAAAATCCAACAGTACAGCCAGCGAAAGTGCAGACTAATACCCATGTCAAACAATTGTCTCTTTGTATCTAATATTTCCTATTTACCATCAAATTAATATAGAGCATCAGCAACTAAAACACAATCAACCCTGATTGTTTCAACCAAAACACATCAAATTAATATAACCCTCAAATTTACAAATACGCTTTGATGAATAAACACTCCATAAAAAATGAAGCTCGAAGTCCAACCCCACATGCTTAAACGGTTAAACCCTCAAAAACTTATATTTCACAATTCATAATAATAAATACATGTCAAACCAAACCCTCAAAACTAAAAAAATAAAAGCATGCAAAACCTTAAATATATAATGCAATGAGATCAAAATAATTACCTCCTAATTGTCAGTAAAATTCCTGCAAAAGACCCTCCCATCCATCAAATTCAACCCACCAATAAACTTTCTCGACCCAAAATTACTCTCTTGTTCTTTCTCTTCTTCACTCTCATCATAAACCACCTTCTTCAGCATCCGCTCAAAGTAACTCCCGTACACATAC